ATGGACCTTCAGGTGAGCCTGGCGTGGTGCACCGACTGGGACTTCCTGCGCCGCGTCGACGCCATCGCGAAGGCGCGGCGGGATTGGGGCCCCTCGGGCCATGGCTCCCCCGCCGACGACCCGCCGCCGCGAGTGCCCTTTCCCTTTTCGTTCTTCGGCGGTTGGCTGGCGAGAGATCCGGCGCCGCAATCGGGGCGGCGTGGGGAGGTTCGAGAGGCGGGTGGGGACGCGGATTCCCCGCGAAGTGGGGCCCTTTTAGACGATAAACGCAAACCCCTAAAATCAAACAATAGTCACGCTACGACGACTGCTAATAGTCGCGGTAATTATCGTGGTTGGCTGCTCCTTTTGATTGCGTTTGTGAACGGAAATGTTTGGCTTGAGCTGCTGCGGTTAGTGGTGATGATAGGATGGATGCTATTGAATATAGCACGCACGGTGGTAGGGAGCTCATACAACTCATTTAGCTCGCGTAATGCGACTAGCATAAATAATAGTGACATGAAGAATCCGATCCATCAAACGGGTCATGAAAAAAGCTCACATTACGAAAGTCCATCAAGCTCTATGCGGCATAGTCCTTCTCCTGCCGCACGTTATCCAGATGAAGAGGAAAAGGTAAGTTTTAACGATCCTGGGGAAAATGAAACTAATAATAATAATAATAATACTTTGAAGCCTTTCCACTCCGCAAGCCGCCGACAAACACAAAGCAGGAGAAGCCGCGGTCGCTCAATGGCTCCCTCTCGCAATGATCAAAACGAAATGAAAATAAACTACGGCTGCGAGAACCTATTCCACTTTAGCCATCGTGGGAATACGCCTTTTTATCATTTAGCGAATGCATTATCTTCAATTCCCTACGCGCCCAATATTGAAGAGGTCGATCTTTTCTTCTGGAGCTGCTTGCAAATGCGTAGCATCTTCGTTCAGCAGAGCTTGGAGACCGTACAGATGGAATTACGCCAGCAGCGATTACGGGAGCACTCTTCTTCTTCCTTTTCGTGGATTCCTCGCAGCGAGGATACTTTAAATGGGTATAGATCCTCCTCATCTCAGCAAGGGGGAGGATCGCATGCCTTGAAAGACACGCATCACGGCTATGATGGCTATTCAATGAAAGGAGGAGAGCCCTATCCCAATATTTTAACAAGGGAAAATAATAATGCTAATCGTTATAATGAAATTTATGATGGCAATGATGAAAGGCGCTTGTCAAGGGTTCAGCATCCGTTTGTGTTGTGGTGTTGGCGCCCGTCTTGGTGGTTCACACGTTATTCCATTATTTCCACATTATTTCTGACCTTTGTAATGATAAGAATTTATATTATTCCCTTTATATGGAAAAGTTCTATTACTAGTACTATAAGTAATAGTTAGTTAATTGTATAACCGTATTGGGGAAGATGATGTAGAGATTCAATTGGAGTGTATAACGTGTAGGAAATGTATGCAATATTATTATTATTATTATTATTATAGATATATTATTTATTAATAAATAAATACGTATCCTATAGTATAAAGCGTTTTTCCTAGTTATCGTTGTTTGTTTGTTTATATAATGTACTTTGTTTTCCCGTCTAAACACGTGTATGCAATGGGATGTTGATTAAATTACTTTTCTATATGGAAAACAGAAGGAAATGCATCGAATTATTCTCATGAGGGGGAGTATGTCATGTGAAAGATATTTAGACCAGAAAAAAAAATGCACTTTAAATTTTTAAAGCAATAATCTATTATCTGTGTTTATGAGTTTCTTACAATATTTCCTTCATGGCTGATCCTTTTTGCCTTTTTTATTTTTATTATTTTTTCATTATACGTGTGTGAGTGCATGTATTGAGGAATCAAAGATAAGGAAGAGATTTTAAGAGACTATCTGAATTTGTGTTATCCTTTTTTTCATTTAGTCTCTTTCCATACACCTTTACATTCGTGATTTTCGACATTACAAAAAAGAAAAAATAGCAATCCTTTTAAGATTTGCACGAGAGTTAAGAATAATAACGAGGTTCGAAGCCTCAATTTAGATTTTCTATTCATTATTTTTATTTTTAAAATAGACAAACATGAACACACAAAAAAAGACGTCAAGGGGGGTGAAAGCGCGGGTTTCTAGTCCAACCAATGATAGAATTTCTCGTTTATCAATTTCTCCTCCTACTGCTGATATAATTACGTCTTCTCCTGTGCATCGCCCTTCTCGTTTGGCTTCTGTAAAAAGGGAAAAAGAAGAGGCTTATCGACAAGGGGCTTTTAATTTCAATTTTCTCCATTCCTCGCGCGATCTCCCAGACAATTTTGACCGCCCGGTGGAGTTATCACAAATCCTTGAACTCCTCGAGGAAAAAAACGAGGAAAACTCCCTTCATAATACTAATAGGAAGGCCCTTTTAACGTCTTATTTTTCGCCATCACTCGCAATGAATCATGAAGTATTAGAAAGGCTTAAAGTGGTCTTGACGTGCCCATTATGCGGGAATCTTTTACGATCGGATCCTGCGATTATTTCCACTTGCGGGCATTGTTATTGCTTTACCTGCATCAACCGCGCCATTGAATATGGTTCCCCACCGCTAACCACAACATGGCTGTGGAGAAAATATCTTCCCTCCTATATTAATAAAAATAATGAGAACGAGAAGGAGAGTTTCACCGAATGCAATAGAAATGATGGCAACCAAAAAAATTCAAAAAAGAGGAAACGAGCACCGAAAAAGGTTAGCTTTTGCTGTCCATTATGTCTAATACCGGCATTTAAGTCGATGCTGATTCGGATACCGTTGATGCGAGAGCTCTGCAGGAAGCTCCACGAGGTCCTACCAAACCTTGAAAAGATTCTTTACAATCTACAAGAAAAAAACAATAACGAAACGGGGATAAAGAGCGGTCTTTGGACTTCAACCGAAGAATCTCCGGTGGCTTTATCTGTCCACGAAATTGCCTTAACGGAAGCGGAGTCAACGCAGGCCAATATTAACATCGAAAACTGCAGAGACGATAATGATGGAAATGGTAAAAATAGGGCTTCTTTTAGGAAAGAGTTGTCATCATCTGGAATGGAGGATTCACACGATTTAACCTTCGCTACGAAGAATGAAAATATAGAGGAATATAATACGAATAGTGTTTCAACACCCTCTCAACAAAACGCACTCCAAGAGAAAGAAGATCCACCGCAGGCCTCATCCGAAATTCTTTCAAAGGTGCTGTGTAATGATAGCAACGCCTCTCCTCCTTCAGGTAATGATAATTCATTATCTTTACCTTTGGCCTCTGCTAATTTTACGTCCTGTTCATTAAGCTTATTTCCACCTCCACCGCAGGGGAAAATTCGACTAGTCTCGCCATCTTCAAGAATATACTTTGATGATATTGATAATAAAGATGAAGAAACTTCAAGGGTTCGTCTGCGAAGAGATTATCTCCATTGTGGAAGCAATGGATTACATAGGGTTCCTTCGGGTAAAATTACTATGGAGGAGAAGGCAGCCTGCGGTATTGTTGATGATCATAATAAACACAACGAGAGGGGTAATTTTATCACTGAAGAACAACACCACGCTCTCACAATTGGGAAAGACCAACAACCTCTACGATTTTCATTAACGTCGGAGGGTTGCGATGATTCCATGCTTCCTTTTCTCGCACAACGCAGTCTTTCCAATACCCATGGTGAGAACGAGGTGTTTGAATTACAGAAACACGAAACATCGGTTTTGGAAAACAATAACAATTTGGAGGAAGAAACGAACAATGGAAACAACACCAAAAGCCCGAATGGGTTGAAATATGGCGAGACCAAAAAACCATTTATTGAAACAAGGGAGGAAGTTCGGCATAAACCAATAGAATCCATTACTCCCATGAGAGGAATTAATAGCAACAGTAATACTATTAGAAACGGTGGGATTGATTTAAAAGTGAGAAAAGGGCTCTCTGGTGAGCGTGTTTTAGGTGCCTTTTATGATTCTTTTGTTAATTCCTTTAGCAATTCTCCTTTAACGCAGCAATCGCCAAACCTTCCTACCTTAGAACCAACGATGACAAAAAAGAACTATCAGGACAACTTTTCGGCAAGTAAATCGGGATGTCTTCCTAAAGAAGAAGAAGAAAAGAAGAAAACTCCGCGAAAGGAGATGGTAGAAGGCAAAGAAAGCGGTCCTGATACTGAGGAAATTAAAGAAAAAACGAATGAAATGTTTCCTCCGAAATCAACTTTAACGTGGAATTCTTATTCTTCTTCACGTGATAATAGCATTTCCAGAGGAGCCTCAACCTCAACTGAGCAACTTAATGACGAAAATAGCAGGATGTCTACTACTCCACCTCCAGTACTCCACCCGGGTGCATTTCGGTATCTACTGTACAACGATACGCCATGATATTTTTACTATTAGTGTTATCTTTATTGTAAATTATTGCCTTTTTATTCTCTCTAGTTTGGGATCGATACAACAACCTAACTAACTGATATGGCTCGGGAGTTGAATGAGTTTGTTTGGTTACCTTCTGCGCGTCTATAATGTATCCCTGATGTAACTTTTCTTCCTTTCTTTTTTTCCGTCGTTACCCACGAACCCTTTTGACGCAGAAATCCAACCAGTCTATGTGTGATCCTCTTGACTAGAACTTATACACCCCCACTAACAAGCCGAAACGAATTAACTAACCTAACTACCCACCCCCAGACGTCAACGGGCTCCCATCCCGTGCGACCCGACCCCCCCCCACCGATCCTCTACACCAGCGCGACGCCCCCAGAGCCCGAAGGGCGTCTCCGCGGTCCCTGCGACTTCCGCCCGATGGCCACTGACCCGCCCCGGCCGAGCCGGCTCTTCCGCCACGCCGTCACGCGCGTGCACATCGGCGTGGGCCACGCCGTCCTGGGCGCGCAGCCGCTGGCGCTGGCC